AGTCTCTATAGAAGCGCTGACACCAAGGTCGTCTATAAAATTGCAGACGTTGACTTGACACTGGATAGGTACCCCCAAACAAAGGATGGCCCTAAAACGCACCATGTTTCGAAGCGTATAATTTTCGAGAGGATATTGCAAGGAGGAAAATTTACATCAGGATGAATGGTTACAAGCCCTTGCGATTTCTATCAGCCTAGGCAGCAACGTCGCAAGGCAAGGTCCGGAAAACCAGCCATTTTGATTCACATATCTGCCAACGCACGCGCGGATGCCTGCGGATGCCCCTGCGGATGCGGGAGAATGCTTGCGAAGGACCACTGCGGATGCCAAAAACCACCAAAAAATGGCCGCGGATGCATTTCCGGCGTTTGAGAAATACAAAGTAATAGAAAGCAACCCGCCCTGCGGATGCCCAATGGGGTGTGTGGCACATTGTATGGGGGGGAGGGGGTTTTCTGCCGTTTCCTCCCCTTCCCTCGGTGACGCCTTCGTGTTGCGGAGTTCTCTTCTTCGCACTTGCGGCTTCCACGCCTCTTTCCAAACTTGGCCTTGCCACGCGTTGACTCCCCATCAGGTCTCGCCTCCCAGACTTGGCCCTGCCACATTCTAGGTTCCCATATGGTTTCTGCGAAACCGGTGCCTGCCACATGTTGACGTCCTCAAAGGCGGTTTCTTCCACAGTAGCTCCTGCCATGCGGAGCGCCTCGAATGCCAACAAACCTGCTTCATCATGGCTCCCAAAACAGGATCCAAAAAACCAGTAGAAACATGGCGGCCAGAAAGGGACCTCGACTGTACAAGAAACAAAGTGGGACGCACAGAGAGAAAAAGCATGTATTAACACTTACGCTCATGCTAGTGCGTCGCAAATCTGCTTGCAAAACCTCTGCGGGCAGCAGCAAAATTCTCCGATGGCTGACCCCACTTTTGGGTCCAAATCTGGATCCCAAAACGGGGCCCAAGCAAAGACCTAAAAGAAGGAATGAAAATGTGATCCAATTCTGGACCCCATTTTGGGGTCCATATTTGGACCCAAAAATGGGGTCAGCCATCGGAGAATTTCGCTGCTGCCCGCACATGTTGTGCAAGCAGATTTGCGACCCTGCAGCTTGAACATGAATGTCAACTCATACATTTTTCTCTTTGTGGGTCCCAAGTCCGGTTGCTACTGTATGTGGTTGGACAGATGGAATATGAGCAGCAGTCAGCAAGACATGGAGGTGGAAGAGAAATTGTTGTGCTGGCCAAAAGCATAGTACGTGTGCTTGTAGTGATTGGCCTTGGGCCGGTGCCAAGCGTAGCAGTGAACTTGGAAGGTGGAAATCAATGCGATTTGAAGGAGCCCGATACGTTTTTCACAGATGGTGAACAAAGTCACTTTGTGTTTTGGATGTTCATGTTTTTCATGCTTGCTGCAGTGATTTGGTCTACGTTTCTCTGGCGGCTCTACAAATGGTTCAAGAGCACATGGGAGAGTCATGAGCATTTGTGACTTCAAGTTGCACAGCTTGACACCTACGCTGGAGAGATTCGAGTGGACTGTGACAAACTGCAGGTGGATACAAACAACATGAGACAAAACATGACTGAACCGGAATAAGCGCAAGGTATGGTTTCAGATGGCACCGATGCCATTCACTATGCTGTGGTGGAAATGGGTGGCTATGTCAGGATGACAGAATTGAGTCCTGAACAGAGACATTACATGTACACAATGTACGCACAAGAGCGTAGGAATCTTGTGGCAGCAAATGTCATGGGCCAGCAGCGCTGTCTGCAGACAAGACAGCAGAACTGTGGCGATGCTGCTGGACAGGATGCCAATGCAAGAGTAGAAGAAGAAGAAGGTGAGTAAATGGAATCAAAAAGTGATCAAAAAACAGATGATCCTATGCTTGCAGACAATCATGCAGGGCTGTGGACACATTTGGTGGATAGCCTGCGTGAGGAAATCAACAATGCTTTGAGGCGTGAGCATTTCCGTGACGCCAGTGAACTGCAAAGGATGGTCCTCATCATTCTGGACAATCTCAATGCTGGAAATTTGACGGTTGATGTGGCAAGGAATGCAATCCTACAGGAAGTTGCAAACAGGTTGGAAGTTATGACACCCTGGCACAGAATCCTATTCCCAGCAGTTGCAGACAGGTATCAAGGTCATGCAATGACCGTGAGATCAATGATGGTAGCTCCAATGGAAACTGGAAGAACGCAAAGGGGAACGCAGGTAACTCCCCAATTAATGCCGGCTTGTTTTCAGTGAGTGCAGCAGCTAGTTTTCACGTAGTGATTTTCTGTTTGAACTGAAGACTCACACTTCAAAGGAGGAGTGCAAATGTTTGAGCACCACGCCCATGTCCCTTCATACATGTTGTAGCATGCATCCATGAAATCATGGGATGAGAGCAAAAATTCAGTGTGTAACAGTCAGACTTCAGGCCACGTTACATGCACGTGGAGAGTGTTTTCACTTGAGGCCCTGAGGTTCAAAATCAAAGCAGTTGCTTGTGCATTGCTCGCTGAACCTTTGCAAAAGTTTGTTTTGTCACATGTGTAGCTGCATGCTAGGCTCAAAGTCAGAAAAACCAAAACAGGCCGGCGAGGTATGGCGTTGGTGTTCGGGTATGGCATTGGTGTTCTTCTGCAGCATATAGGCCTGGGCAACGGTGAAATGTCAAGGTTGTGGGCCACAAATATCGTTTGATGTGAATCCTGACTGTTTGATTTGTTTTTGATTTTGTGCTCATTTGCGCGTAGGTCAACTTTACTTTCCACATGAAGTTAAAGGTACAAATCGACCAGACTGGGGCAGACACAAACTGTATCGATGAAAACCAACAACAAATTGTATCGATAAGAGCCACCAGACGGTGCAACATTTTTCGCAGCTTGGTTCAAAGTGCGGGTCTGCCGTGGCCAGCGCTGGCAAAATGGCGGCTTATGTCAAGGCAGGGCCTGGGGACAGCAAAACTTTCAAATTTCAAACCTTTCTTTGAGACAAGTAATTAGTTTGTGGTCTGGAATTCTCCAACTGGGGCATCCAAAACAGTAACTACATTAGTTGTCCACATATTTTTTTTGTGTGATGAATTTGAAAGTGCTGATGGTGAAAGTAAGCGCTGAAAAATTCATCGCTTTGCTGATCAGGTCGCAGATCGGCACGGCCGAACGACTGTGCGAACGATGGGCCTAGGTTTTTGGCTCAGTGTCTCCAATCAGCGTGCTGTTTTGCGCAATGTTTTGGTAGTTTTTTGGTGCCGTTTTGGTAGTGTGTTGTTATGTTTCCATAGTTTTCATTCTGTTCGCTTCGATTGTGGTTTGGCTTTGTTTTGTGGTCGTGTTGGGAAATGTTTGGATGTTATTCCCAATACTGGCTGTTCAATCTAAAGGCGGTTGGCTGTGCATACGGACAATTCAAATGCTTTCCATTGGTGTGGAGATGCGACCTTTTCTCCTACCTCAATGGTGGACTTTCAAGGGCCAGTCATCACGAGTTTGAGTGTGAAGACAATGCCTTCGAATACTCAAATCAAAATTTTGGTTGGTCTGAAAAATATGAGAACATCCTTAAACCTAGGGCTTGATCATTTTTCCATTTCCCGATTGAGATGGTCGGATGGTATACCCGTTTCTCAGACAAACCCAATTTTTTTTGATTTTGTATGCTGTGCCAGTCGATGTTGATGTCACAATTTAAAGTTTTCAAAAACTATTCATCTACTGTAATGTACTTTAGATTACATATAGTAATTAAATGTTACCTCATCTTGTATACGAATAAGGAACTTGACACATTCAGTGCTGCTATCCAGAAACTGACGCTAGAGTTTTGACCTGAGGCCATTTGCTTCTTGCCTTAGCAGCCGCTGTGGCGGTCTGGAATTTCCTCCCAACAGGCGCTCTGATTTTGTGGCCATTCGAGTTGTGAGAATGGAACCCACAAAATAAAATCAAAAAGGTTCTGCACCCATAGAATATCAAACCATCCATCTGCGAGCACATTTTTTTTGCGCTGATTTTTTTCCGTCTGGCCAGGTTCACCTGAGACTTTCGTGGAAGGCTGGAATGTGAACGGCTGGTTTGCAGCATGCCAAACGGAAAACATTTGGTGCGCAGAGACACTGCTGGGTCTCGATCGAAGGCATCGCAACTCATGTCGCCAGAGATGTAAATGCCAGAAACCCAGCAATCCCAGTGCCACTGTGCACTTGTACAAAATGTTTGCAATGAATTTTTCCCGTGAAGATTGCTGCCTGGTTTTCAGATCCCCTGATATGAAAAATCTTTGGCCGGCTGCACTTTGAATCGTTGAAGCGTTGAAGGTTGCCCGCTGGAATGCAAAACCACCCTTTGAAATCAGAAGCAGGACGGTCTTGCAGCTCGATTTGTCAACACTTTGTGCACAGATGATCTCTGAAGAATGAAACTTATCAGCAACTGGGGCCAATAACCCCAAACACTGCCAAACACCACTAAGACGTAGGATCTAGGACCTTCAGTTGCTAAGTTCGCTCACTTGCTTTGGACGGACATACCATCATTCTCCAATAGCCCTTATGAATGCTTATGAGTTAGTTTGTCACGGGAAAATTAATTTGACAAGGGAAACAATTACAAGTCGCTTCAAAAAACACATTTTGTTCCATCAAATCGACAGGTTTTACCATGGTTTTTAGCCGCCAATATGGATGTTTCCTGCAGATTTTCCAATTCTGGGTTTAAACAAACCGAACTTTGCTCCACCATCTCCACCTTGGTAGGTACGAAGGAGTCTCTCGCTGTCGCTATCTGCGACGCTTACGTCACAGGCGTTGGTGTGCCCAATTTGAGCCGCGACCTCAGCGGGTTGCTGTTGAAAAATCCCATCAATCTACCGGAAAGGGATGTTGGGGTGAAATTTATTCAAATTGTAGGTGAGCCCATGCTTTGCAAAATATCTGGATAGTCGTGGATTTCATCCTCCAATTCCAGTGCTCTCATAGATATTTGTCACCAAGATGGCGCAGAGGTATCCTCGTACCTTCGGATACGTGCTGAAATGGAACGACACGGCTCAGAACTCAACGGCGGACGAAGGTTGCAGGAAGCCGCAGATTCTCCAGGTTTTTTGAGGGGCAACTCATAGCAGATCAACTCAACTTACAAAACTGTGTCTGTTCATAGTTTTCTACATTTGGGAAATTCATCAGAACTCCGGATGCGCCATAGTTATCACCGGTGATGTGATGTGTTTTTCTCGTTTCAGGCCGGAGAAGGAGTTGTCATTGACCAAGAACAGACTCAGAAGTACTTGGTGATTCGCGATGTGCCTTGGTCCCACTGGGATGGTCGGAGCCTGCGTTGCCTGCGTTGCCTGCGTTGCCTTTGCTTGTGTTTCGGTGAAACCATGGAATGTTTGGAGTATTTTGATTGTTGAGCCATAGCCATCTAGCCCATGATTTCGTGGTTTATATAATATAATATATATGTTTATATTAATTTATATATATATATATATGTTTATATTATATGTATTTATATGTTCCGCGTATCTCCAGTAATGGAAATCTCCATGATCTCCCTATTTTTCTTGGTTTTACCCAACCTTGGCAGACCCTTGGGTCGCAGGAGATTGGAAAGTCCTACCACAACCATGCAACACTCCAGACGGCGACTTGCTCAGAAGTTCCGACTGGTGGAGATGAGGACTTTGGGGTGCTGAGGTTTACGAACATTCAAAAAATTGTCGGGGCAAAATAACATATTTTTCCGCTGATAAGGACAATTATATAATGTTTATCATATATACACACACATGGAAAATTGAGATGTGTGCAGAAGAATAAATATGTATACATATATATATAGAAGTACTATATTGTGTAATATATATATGTTTTTGTGTATGTATACATGAACATTTGCTTATGTGCACGTGTATATATACTCTTTGTTCATGCAATCCTCATCTTCCGGGACAACCCACAACTTTTCAATAGCTTCAACTACCGAGACCGAATTTGTGGAGTTCTTCAAGACTGACGAGATGGATGAGGCGGACGACGTTCCTATATGACTCATGTTCTATTTTGTGAATCTGTGGCCGCAACTTCGATTTCGGTCTTGCTTGACTTAAATCTATTTGGGTCTTTATTTTTGAAGTGAATCTAAATCACTTTATCCCACTTTATCCCACTACCAAAGGAAAAGATCACCGAAGTCGAAGTACTTCGCTGATCTTTTGGGAGACCTGCGACGTTGTGCTCAAGCCTTGAAGCGGCATGGGATGGTAGGGTGAAGCATGAGGTCTACCGGGTCACATTCTGTATGGCCAAAAATAGGAGGTAAGCTGAGGCCCGGAAGTTTGAGCTATGATAGATCTACATTCAGCGTTGGGCCTTGGGATGGCATAAAAATGACAGCACCAGAATACGGTGGATTTGGAATGGACATTTTGGATGTTTCAGATGGCTTAAGGGATTAAACTTGATGAAACCAGCAAGAAATCCAGGCTCCAGAGAATACCAAAACAGATCCAGCCTGGATTTGGATGGTCGTTTGAAGCTAGATGGCACTATGACACTATGATCGCCCTGAGGCCGTGAACTGGGCGCCGGGGGGTGTTACTTTGCAGGGTCGGAAAGAAGTCAATTTGGGATTCAGCGACAGTTTAATCAACTCATATCAAGTCTTAGTTTGGTGCACAAGCATTGCGCGAGACGGAGCCGCACTGTGTTGGAAGCAAGACCTTTATTTGAACTTCCAGTTGATGATGGAGGCAACTGAAACTGCCTGCGCTTTTCACTCGATCTCATGAGCTCCATGTTTTTTTGGGGAAGATACTTCCAAGGGTTCACCTTCCAGACCGTTTTGACTGCGTGATAGTTCCCTCAACTCTTCGGTGGGCCATTGCTGATATTATTTGTAGATTCTCCCATGTTCGCTGAATTTTCACCCAGTTACCAATCAAACCCAGGTGTACCTCAATTTCGGACAAAGGACTTCCAGCTCACAGCGCTGTGAGGCGAAATGACACATTTTTATCAGCCTCGAATAGCTATGGCTCCTCGCCGCTTGATTGCAGTGCCATTGCTGTCTCGCCGAACCCAGGTCCTCCAGGTAGAGTGGTAATCGTGGATTCCAGGGCTCTGGCTGGAGGTACGTCGAGCAGAGATCTTCACCGAGCGGCCTTTCCGTTGGCCACTGGCCGTCAGCGCTGCCACAGGAAGTTGATGGTTGAGCAATGTCAATACTTGGTGGGGATAACATGTTGGGTTCTATGACTTGGTTTAGTGGGGTCTATGAATTCCTTCAAAGGGAAACCCTTACTGTATGAAACGACCACTAGGCTCGATATGACAGAGGGTGGACTAGGCAATGCTCATATCATGAGTCAAGCCTTTGTCCCTCAAAAATAGATGGTTTGATAAACTTAGCTTGTATTCGTACGGTTGTTGGTGACAATTTTTGGTGGTTTCATCCACAGTCTTGACCCATGTAAAAAGATACTGTAATCTTTCTGATGGCCAAGAATGAAGAATAACCAACAATTTTGCTTAGTTATGCTTTTTGAGGGTCTTACAATTTTGACCAATCTGTGAATTCACGGGAAACTCATACGTATATTTGGATTGCTCAAATCAACCAAAATTTGCTGCTTAAGCCATCCATTTTTGATTATATGTGTTGGCATAATATATGTATATCTGTATATATATAATATTATATAATATTATATAATATTATATAATATTATATAATATGACATGATATGATATAATATACTATAATACACTATAATATGATATGTAATGTACTATGATATAACATAATATATTCTAATATAATCTAATATGATATGATATGATATAATATAATATGATATGACATGATGTAATATAATACAATATGTATATTATATATATTTATATATAGACATATTATGGTATATATATATATTATATAATTATATATATATTATCCTCCAAAATGCAAAAAACATGTTGGTTACAGCCCCAAAATTATGTTGCTAAAATTCGCATTTTTTTCCCCCAACAGCGTTAGCTTAGGGGTCTCTGGGTAGAGTTCCAGAGAGTTCATCGCTGGAGGCTTCGCCAGTTGCGTCACAAGAGGTGCCGAGTGGTACAACGCCCAAGGAGAGATGTGGGGAGAACGGGGTGAGAAAGTGGGCATTTTGCCTGCACCAATGTTGCGATATCATGCGATATCACATTGATTTGATTTGACCAATTGTTTGTAAGATTTTGTATAAAAAAGATGGCCATGATTGAGAACCAATTTTGAAACCTTTCGGAAATGGATGAATTTCACCAACATCTTTTGATATCTTTTGGGACTTTAAGGCGACGTTTTGAAACCAACAGGACGCGGACGTGGTGCAGTTTCTGTCCAAGGTCTTCTTCGCCTATGAGGACGATGGCGTGGTCTCCATCTCCGTGGTGCGGATCGGTGTCTTGACAGAGCCGGTGGGGGAAAACGATGGGGACAACGTATGAATCGTATGAATCACCATGAAAATCAGTAGGGAACGATTCATGATTTCCCATCTTTGGTTTTTTCAAGTCAACGTTTTATTTGAGTTTGGAGCACCCATCCTGGATACAGCAGAATGATCATGAACTCGGGACGCCTCGCTGGGTCTTTTTGGAGGCTGAGTGGATCTTTTTGGATCTTTTTGGTGGTGAAACAGCAGTCATAGAACACCCAACATCGCCAAGGTAGCTTGAAGGGCTCATGCAGAATTCATTGGAGAACGCAGGACCTAATTTTCCGCGTGGCACGTCGGCACGTCTTGGCACGTCGTGGACCCTGATGTAACTCCCACATGGTTCGATGATGAAAGCTGACTTGGCTTTCTGATGATCAAAATCCCTGTTGATCTCTATGTATTCTTTTCTTGAGATGACACTTGTGGTCTCGAGTCTTTACATGAAAGCCTCAAGTTGGACTGAAGAGTTACCAGGACCACGATCTCACCACGGAATGGCACGAGTTTCAAGTCATCACTGATGCCTTCAGGACTCATCAGCAAAAAAGGATTTGAAGTACATTCATGGCTCCTTGGCTGCAATGGAGCTTCCAAGAATGAGATGAGAATGGTCCATGGAACGCTTCGATGGCAGATTGTATTCTGTAGCGCCTGTAGCGCCTTAAATGTATTCTGTCCAGTCTGTCCACATTCTGGCAGTTCTCCAGATCCGATTGGATTGGAGCGGCTGCAATATGCTGCAATGCTTCCGAAATTTGAATCGAAGAGTGAAAAATCCTATCTAGATATTCTAGATCTAGCTACCCCATCCGGTTTTGCTGCATACCATTGACATTTGGGTTGACATTTGGGTTCGTCTAAAAACAGTACCCCCAAATCCCAACGTTTCTCATCATTTCGCCATTAAATGGCTACTCTTTAGGCATACGGTATACCCTACCTGTTTTCAGATACAGAATTTCGGAGTTTCCCAGACACCAAGTGGCCTGAGGAGAAGATGTGATTGACTTTGGCCCTGGCGAATCCGTCAGAACCTTCGAGATTTCCAGCTGCATGTGGCGATCTGTGGCTGGCACCCAATTGGACCTCTGTAGAACACAATGGACCTCGTTGAAGAAAGTTGTAAAGTTGTCCTCGAAATCTCATGTGACAGAGACCCAGGGCCCAGGGGTCCCTTATGGCACCTCAGTTGGGACGATGGGTTGTGGGCCCATTGGTCCCCGATTTCGGCCAGATGAGGATCACCATCATCAGCGATGATCACTTCGATACAGCCCTGGACTTTGATGTCATTCTGGAGGATCCAGAGGGTTGCATGCTGGACCCGCGCTTACATGTTAGCAGAGTGTCTTGACTCATGTAAGCAACGGGTTCTTTGACAGTGTGAGGGGTGAAACTTGGGTACCCGGGTACCCCGATGGCAAGGTTTGTGGGTCCAAGGTCTCAAACGTACCTGAAGCCACACCCTTTTTCTACCCAAGGTGTTGATCATCGATGATGATCAGTTTCCCTCCAATGACTTTGAAGAGGCCCAGTTGCGACTGGGGGTATACAACGGGTATACAATGTATATGTCGCATGTACTGATTTCTAATCTCTATGTCGATGTACACATATAAAGACACATTAGAAACATATATATATATAGGTGTATGTGTATGTACACTACACACAGTGCACATTTAAGACACACATATCCATAATGTACGAACAGCTCTGACCTGCATTGCTGCATCTTGAGTTGGAAAATTCTGTGGCAGGCCATTGCTGAGAAATCAGAGGCAGCACTCCTTGAGGCCGGTTCCGTGGGTGGCTGCTGTCAAGTCCACTCAAGGGACATCCGGGGACTGATGGAGGATCAGGGAGATATATCATCAGTATATCATTCACTTAAGTAACGATCATGGAGGGGGTTTTGAGGGATAAATCATGATAAATCCCTGAAAGTCCCGGTTGATGGTGGTTTTTTGGACATAGTAATCATTTCAGCAGTACCAATCCACAACCCGGGGGGTGAATCGTTGGGATCTGGGAATGAATTCACACATCGAGGCATTTTCATGGCACAGGGGGAAACATTTCCAGCACATGGCGCAGCCATCACGTGCCGGTGATGTTCAGTCGCAGCAGGTGGGTTTCTCGCTACTTTGGGCATTTGTTTGCCACTCTGATGCAAATATTCAAGCGATTGCCATGATAGTCCAACATCGTCGCAGCCGTTTGATGGGGATATACTGGGATATGCTGGGATATCCCATCCTAAGATGAAATACCTCCAAGAGGGGAAGCCAACAATAAATACATTAGATCTACTACGAAACCAGGGGTTCCGGCAACTGCGAGGCAGTGCAATCCACGGTCTTCAGGAACTTGATCTCGCATACGACGTTGCTGCATAAGTTTGTCTTTATGTTTCTAATTTCATTTCATACATTTGTTTTCATAGCACTTTCTGCAACATTTCATAAGACCTCCAAAAATATATCAACATTTAATAGGTTACAGTTACTGTGATGTATTCATACACATATATATAATCATATATATACACATATTATCTATATAAGATAGAAACAATTCATTTTAAGACAAAAAAATTGAAGTTGAGCCAAAAGGCTCGAGCCCTGGATGTTCATCCCCTCGCTGAAGCCCAAGGCTTCTGCTTCAGTCACGTCCCCACCATCAAATGGATCCTGGGCCCGAAATCTTGTGGCCTGGGCCCAGGGCGGGGAAATGCCCGTGGAAATCCCCGAAAAAGAAAACAGCGGTTTCAATGGGCAAATCATCGAGAGCCGGATAGCCCATGAAACATGGTCATGGGCAACTAGATGGAGCACTAGATGATACACAATGGGATGAATTGGGGAACCCATGCAACCACGCCACAGTGAGGAAGTCCATTCTGTATCTGGTGCTTGCGAATCTTGGCAATGCCTATTACTTGGCAACTATCTTCATGAGGTGCTGGAGCGTTGGACAAGGGCATATGGCTTAGACTAAGAACTGTCAGTGGTTGATTCCTCAGATTCTGTGCCATATCTTCGCTGCTCTCGTCAGAAAAGCAGATGCCAGGGTCTATTTGATCGACACAGTCTTGAACGTGAAGGACTCACTGGATACATCTGGATACCTTTTGGATCCAATTTGTAGTTGCGGCTTTCTGGCCGAAGTTTGGCGCCCCCAGCGTCCAACCAGGATTCAGAGACGGAGAAGAAATTGTGGGTCGCGAGCCTAGGTCAAAACTGTTTGCTGAGGAAATGGGTCAAAATGAAGCAGATGAAGCAGATTCGGGTTCACTTCTAGTACTAAGCCGTATTGAACCATCTCAAATCTCCATATCACATCTCCCCATCTTTTCGTTGCTTAGTTGTACTTCAATTCGCCTTCGTAGAATGTGTCTAGATTCATGACATTTACCTTATTTTTTTTGTCATTTTTTGACCCATTCACTTGGATATGGGTCAAACACGGTCCAAATCAGGTAACCCCCACAGTTAGATCGTTGATACTAAACACACTATATAAATATACTAAACATACTAAACATACTAAACATACTACACATATCTAAACATAAACATTCCAATCTGTGGTCCTCTGGGTCTTCAACTTCGACCCATCCCCACCTTTTTCCGTCCGTCCGTCGAGACGACGTCTGAGATTCCGGGTGACCGCACGGGGACAGCGATGGCCCTGGGCCTGGCTTGGGTCTTGCCCAATGCCGAGAACTCAGAGATGGGTTAGATAGATGAAAGGAACTATATTGGTTAGATATCTATAGATATCTGAGATTTGGTTAGTTCCTGTAATAGACTATGACTATAGATTATATGGGATAGAAAGATAGATGACCTTGGGACGTAGATCTTTTTTTGGCTAAATGTTTTAACTTTAGCACATCACGTTGGATATCCGGTTGATGTAGATTTTTGTTGGAGATGATTTCTGATATTTCAGTAAAGCTCCGTGATGACCATGAAATTTCTGGCTTTTCCCCATGACTCAGAGCCAGGTGGTTCTGCTTGCAGTCGACTTCTTTGAAATGGCGGTTCTTGAAATGGGAACCTTTGCGTCAAGTGCTTGGGGGAAAAAGGGGCTAACAAGAAGAAGGGCGACCCAAAAAGATAGGACAGTTCATCCCAACTATATTTTGTCCCAGAATTGGGTGGTGGGCAAATTGATGAGAAGCTCTCGAATTAATAGTAACAACATGTAAAAACCACGGTTTCCTGAAAATTCATGGATTTTGATGTGGTCATTAGCTTTGGGCTTCTCAAAGGATTCACCCATCCAGTGAAGATGTGTCAACTCGAAACCTGATCCCAGAATTGTTTAACAAATCTCCAGTTTTCGCCCCTACTTTTGGGGTGACACCAGTTTGCAGAGGATTCCATTTTTTTCATTCCGATTTTATCCAATCCATGAGGATTCAACATTCGCTACCACCTACGGGTGAATCTCTTCCGCAAATACTTGCGCTACACGGATGAATCGCGGGCCCTGGTGCCGGTGCAGGCCTGGCTCTGCGCTGTTTGAAAAAAATTGGTCCTTTGATAGGCCATGAAACACTAAACAAATCGAACCAAAGGCAGCCATGTGATTTTCCCAACATTTTGAAGCCATACAGCCACATAGAGGTGGAGTAAATATGTAAATATGGCTGATTGTTTGACAAACAGCCCAACTGCCATCTGTTGAAGTTGGGCCTCGCAAGCACGCAAGTGACCAATGTGCCCTTCAGGCGTTGAAGATCAGTATCATGGAAGATATTCCGGATTTGGTGTCGCAAGGCTGCTTGGCTCCTGTGGTAGATTGATGTGGAGAATCCATATGTAGATCATTGCCCTTAGTTAACCCAATATTTTTTTTCCATATTTTTCCCACATATATATATATATACATATATATATATACGCGCAACGCCTGGGTTCTGCCCAGGCATTGCAGCGTATATATGTCCCATTCACGAACAAATGATGTTGCAAATTACAGTAATTCCTATGGGAAAAATAACACAGGTACTAGAGACTATCAAACAAACAAGGTCAAAACACCCGAAATTCCTATGGGAAAAACAAAAACGGCATAACACCTGCAATTCCTATGGGAAAAACAGCAAAGGTACTAGCAAATTTTAAACTCTCAAATCGTGAAAATTAAAATTCAATTAGGAAGATCAACAAAGATATTAGGGAATATTAAACTCGCACCCCAGTTAAACTTTACATGCAACTGGGAAGATCAACAAAGATATTAGGGAATATTAAACTCCCACCCCCGTTAAACTTTACATTCAATTGGGAAGATCAACAAGGATATTAGGGAATATTAAACTCCCACCCCCGTTAAACTTTACATGCAACTGGGAAGATCAACAAAGATATTAGGGAATATTAAACTCCCACCCCCGTTAAACTTTACATTCAATTGGGAAGATCAACAAGGATATTAGGGAATATTAAACTCCCACCCCGGTTAAACTTTACATGCAATTGGGAAGATCAACAAAGATATTAGGGAATATTAAACTCCCACCCCCGTTAAACTTTACATGCAATTGGGAAGATCAACAAAGATATTAGGGAATATTAAACTACCACCCCCGTAATGATGATGGTGGTGGTGATGATGATGATGATGGTGATGATGATGATGATGATGATGATGATGATGATGATGCGTCGCCCGTCGTCATTGCGGGTCCGGGCAAAACCCAGGCATTTGCCGTATATATATACATATGGTATATAATATAATAATATACATATACACACATAACTACAATTAATTATCTACATATAGATAGTATGAGTTTTGGCGCAGGGCAACGGTGATAAGAAACACAACATCTCCTAAATATGAGTGGATTCACATGTCTTTCCACTTTCTGAAGTGCATCTGTGACCAGCAAGCGCCGCTGGAGCTGAGGTTACTTGATCCTCTTTGAGCTTTGGGCCATGCTGGGCAAGATTGCGATGGTTGCCATCTTTATTCTTCAAGAACTTCCTCGCAGCCGGGAGCCCCAGGGGCCCCAAAACTGTGAGGTGCAGCGCTCTTTTTCATCCACTCCGAAATAGTGGGGATGCAGTATACTTGCATATGTGCGCCCATATATGTTAAGTGTGTATATATATATATATATGTATGTATGTATACGTATTAGATAGACACATTGAATTGCATATACATTTTTGTTGTACGTATGTGTACACGTAGATGTGCATTTTTGAATCTCTGTATCTAAATGTAGGAATGCGAATCTCCATAGTGAGGTGCTGTTCCATTGGTTGTCTACCCAGTGTTGATCATCGTCCACCTTATTCGGACCCACCGGACGCGCATGGAACTGATGGCCAAGGAGCTGATGAAGCTTGCAGTTTTCTCATGGGGGTGCCAATTTCAAGAGCAAATTAGAAAACGATTTTCGCAGTAACCCCCGCAATTAATAGTCAGGGTACGGATTTGGGTTACCGTGTTGTGAAAGTTCCAAAACGCAAAATGATGCGCTCAAGTGGATGTGAAATAGTGGCAATACCACCACCTTCATGTAGCCTTCATGTCTCGAATGCCCAATGCCCACAGGAAGGAGATGGCAAGAGCGCCACCATCGAATGTCTGATGCAAGCAAATCATGTGACTTGGATGGATGAATTCGTGACGACATGAAATTGAACCAGGACAAAGATATTACTTTGGAGTAGCCTCAATTTTTATTTTTAGGGTCTTTTGTGAACACCCATTTCTCTGCATGATTTGCAAGAAACTTGAGTTTGTTCAGGATAGCATCATATCTTGCTAAGGGCTACAAGCTGCTGAAGGCCTACGGAAAATTGACCACTGACGTTCGATGCTTTGCGAAGTGACGAAGTGAATGGGAGCAGAGTGGCTATATACAGTCGAAGAAAAAAACAAAGAACTCTTCCATTCTAAAAAGGTTGCATTGGTCATTTGTGAAGGACTGTCACCACTGTGGGTTAAGCAATGGTCAACAGGGACTCAAAACCATCTGCGAGGGGCAACGGCGATGCTGTGGATATGTTCCCACAAGGGGGCATAGTTGTGTCCACATGCTGGGGATTTTCAACATCACCTTTGATGATCGGAGTTATAGGAGCTGATGAAGTCCATTTCTTGTCTTTACAAAAGAACCGTTTCTGAAGTCCATATACATCATATACCATTGTGGCATTATGGCTACTTTCCTGGTCAGATAATGTCATATCATATCCATCTATTGGCCCGGCACTGAGGACACTTTGAGATACTGCTTCACAACCAACGGAAGTTTGTGATGGACTTGCGCCTGGACCATGGATCTAAGTGCGGTGTAGCTGCCATAGCTAGTCTATGAAAGATATTACCCAGCTAACATTGAGCTGGAAATCCAAGAATGAGGTTTTTACTCTCTCACCAAGCACATACGGATTTCCTATTTGAAAATTCATCACCACTGGTGTATCACTCACGGTATATATATACACCGTATACTGCATGGATTTTTTGACCATTCACCAAGGAAGAGCTTCAATTTCTGGAACGCCCAACTGATTCCGTGGATCACCACTCTGGTCATCGGCTTCTACATAGGCGCGGCGCTGGGCGCTGGGCGCTGGGGTGGCCGGGTCATGTCCGGGTCGTAGTGGTTCCTACAGAACAAAGTTACCAGCCCAACTGGTATACATTGCTATGTACAGTAAATACTGGGATTCACAAATGCATTTTTTTTTCAAAACTAAGTTTCCCCCAAATTTGATAGTTTGTCATGATTCTCCCTGTTGAAATGACCACAAATAGGGGTAGAATGTGGCGAACCTAGCAACAAAACCCTGATTTTGGATGGTTTGTACCATCAATATTTCAGGTAATCTCCTGGATGATTTGTGGCTTAGCCCATTACCCAATCGCTTCCAGTCGACCAGGGGCTTCCTATCACTTGGTCTCCAGTCACGTCAGTTTGGGAGCACTTGTGCAAACGATCAACGTGGTCAAGGAGCCGGCGTGACAACAGCTTGGTATAATATGGGTGAAATCATTGGGTATATCGCGGACTGCTTTGGGTGGCAGTGGTGCACAGCAGCGATGCAGTGCAGCCCCCGCCAAGGTCTCTGAGGTCTCATGCCGGGCGCGCTAGGTCGGAAGCCTTTCGGAACTTTGTCTGACCCGCGGCCGAAAGACAGCGAGAAGCCAAACTGCGCAGCATGGTTGAGTTTGTACAACATGCTAGTCCATCTGCAGGCAGTATCAAACCGGCTTCAGGCTTACGTATGCCCTTCAAAATATGGTGTTCCAAGCCTAGGATTTGGAGGCCTTTTCCAAAAACAAAACGAATCACCTGAATCAAAGCAGCAAGAGTAGGTTTCAGCAAAACCGCACTGTAAGGCTTCAAATCCCAGCGTAAAGTGCTGGTGTTCCAAAAAGGGAAGGGCAAATTGATTTCATGTATGCACCAAATGGCAATCTCTACGAAACTAACCGGTGCAAACGAGTCAGCTGATGACTCAATGTGAAAAACCACATCAAAAAGTGCACAAACAAATTCCATGGGATACTTCAACTGTACTTCCGATGAACTGAGCTGAGCATTCCAACTGATGGGCAAAGCATCTGAAAGTGCCATCGAAATGCCCAATTCTTGCCATTGAAAAGATTCACTAAGAGTCAAGCCCACTACTTCTGCCTCTGCGGTCTTAGCATCTGCAACTTGGAAGTAAAATCTCCTGAGAAGACGAAGTCGTTGAGACCAAAGGGCAAAGTGTTGCTGAGCGTTTGTCTTCAGGCGCTGATATTCCATGCTGCGAGACACATTGGCGGAGACCGCAAGGCCATCTGCTATGTCATTCCAAGTCGCCTGCCACTCCTCCTGATCTGAAGTGCAAAGGATAGCATCAAGATGTGATGGAGTCCAGCAGGCACAGAAGTTGCCTTCAGGGATATCTGCCAACAGAGCTTCGACTTGTTGCCAAAGATCATGGTTGTCACATAGAGCTCCATGTGGTACCCAACTGCCTTCTTGTATGGCCACAATGCCATCCACTGTTGACTTCGAATCACTCCAAAGGCAAACTTCAGCCTGGTACTGGATGGTCCACTTGAGCGCAGCAATAGCACCACATAGTTCAGCTCGAGGAATGCTCTGCGCTTGGCCATGCAGCTGGCCCGAGCCAATTGGTTGCCCCGTAGAGGCGTTAACTAAAGACCATGCTCCAACCCCCAACATTTTTGGGGTGTGGGGGAAAAACGAACCATCAGAAAACACATGTTGCAAACCCTCTCCTGGTATAGAGTGAAAGTTGCCAGTGGTGTCCTCCAGTGCCTGAAGATAGGCCTTCATCTCCACTTCGTAGGGGCTGCGAGGCATCAAAAGATGAGAAAGAGCGCAATCTGGTACCTCATGGATCCAGTGGAAGGGCTCCATCATCTCATCGCGGATGTGCTCAAACTTGGGGCATTCAAACCAGTGCTGCTGGGTGTTGGGCACCAAGCAGTATGAGCAAATCTGTGACTTCGAAGGGTCATACTTCGAATGGTTCCAGTCAGAAAGAAATGCACCTGATTGCAATGCCATTGTTCTGCTCAACTCCAACGGTGTCATAGTGTTGCGGTCCAAGAGTGTGAGCTCTGGGTGCAACCCGTGGAGGTCATGCATGGTTCGTCTATGCTGCACTTGCGTGGCTACTCGTTGGAGCCAAGCATCCTGCAGTAAATGTTCCAGGGCAACGTTTGGCAGCTCCAACAAGTTGTGCTCGAATCCGTCATGATCCACAAATTGGGGCAGTATTTGAATGGACCACCCAATCTGGCTGAGAAGTTCCACCAGCTTATAGAATGGCCCTGTCCGTTTCCGCCCACAAAAATGCGCCATGAACTGTCTCCATTGCACTAAAACATCTGGAGATTTGCTGCAGATTCGCCTGAAATCAAAAGTGCAGTGCCGAAGGTGGTAAAACCCAGGGTCTGCTGTCATAGGAGCTGAAAGCGAGAGCCGGAGTAGTGGGTTTGAGCCTCCCATTCTAAGACCCAAAGCGGCAACTGCTTTCTTTCTCAATTGGTGCAAGTGGTTCTCAGCAAAAACGCAGCCCAGTGCACCATGAAGTGCTGAAGCCCAGAAAACCATTGGCAAAACCATCAGTTTTTGGGAAACTGGTGCCTTTGAAATACGAAGGCGTGCCCATTTCTGCTCAAGGCGTGAGCCTCTCTTCAAAAAGATACGAACCCTCGCTGCCGCACCAAAAGTAAGAGAGCCACCAAGCTCGGAGACATCCTCAACTACACGCAGGCCCAAAGGTCCCAACATTGCCCTTGTCTGAGGTGTGGTACCCCATGTGTATGATTTGTTGATGTCAATCTCCAATCCCCATAGCTCCAAAAAGGTGCGCAGTGAGAAGAAGGCCCAAACCAAATGCATCACCTGTCGAGACATCATAGAGATGTTGTCAACAAATGACATTGTCCTTGTCAAAGGTGCGTACTGTGATTGGTAAACATGCAGTGCCCAATCAAGTATTGCCATCGCCGGCACGCTCAAAGGATCACCTTCTGCAAATCCAACATCTGATTTCAGGGGCTCGCTCAAATGATTGTGCACTTGGAAGCGCCTGGTAAAAGATGAAAGGAAACGCTGCCAAGGTTTCAGAATTCGCTCTGGTAGTCCTAGATGCTGTGCTAGCTTGAACCATTGCGGTCTTCTGATGTTGTTGAATGCCTTGACAAAGTCCACTGCCATACCAGTCAAGGCTTGGCCCGTTTGAAGTGCCATCTCGACACTGGCCTGGATTTGTAGCCATGATTGCATGGCCTCTCTCCCCGGCAAGAAGCCGAAAGCATCTGAGTGGACAAAACTTTCTATCAGCCGCAAGAGCTGTCTGGATCGCAGTGATCCCCAACATCGGTAGATGATAGAGAAAAGCACAATGGGGCGATACGAGCCAGGCTCATGTGCATCACTGTGCTTTGCGATTGCCAGCACAAGGCCATGTTGCAGCTGAAGTGGCCAGTCCAGATCTTCAAGCTCAATTCTCATCAAAAAATGAAGCAGCCATGCTACATGTGTAGGAGACATGTGTAAAAGGTCTCTTTTGGCAAATCCATCTGCGCCCCTCGCCACAGTTGGCTTGAATCTCTTGACAGTCCGCATCCATTGTGCCGGCGTAATGTCCGGCAACTCAAACTGAAAACTAGGCATACTGCTCTGTATGAAGCCCATGACACGACTCCAGTGTTCTGGTTCTACTTCATGTAGTTGTTGCCATCGTGGTTTCCAAAGGGCGATCAACTGATCGTGGATCTGGGCGTCCGAGCTAGTTTGGGTTGATTGTGTGATGACATCCCCAACCTCAATGTCAGGCCACATGGTAAAGACAAGAAGTTCGTCAATGTATCCGTCAACGGAAAGCCCACAACCGTTGCGATACCAGGTAGATCTTTCCATAGGCTTGATTGGTTGATCTAAAAGGACTGCGTTGGAACGTGGTCTGATAGCTAGGACTGTATAGGTCTTGACATTCCAAAGGCTATCAATTTGATCCGGTGATGGATCACGCAAGTCCTTGAAGATGGCCTGATGTGATTTGTCGTACTTCATTTGAATCAGGCGATTCTTTTGCGAAAGATGCCATCGTTCAAAAGCTCGGAAAGCATGATGGAAAGCATCATAAATCAGCTTGGCTTGTTCAGCATCTGGAGGTTGCAGTGGGAGTGGTCCCATGGCATGAACAAAGTCCTGCTGTTCCCACCAAGCTGAAAAACCCCCTTGAAAGCCCGATGCCCTCCGTATAGAGGTCCACAGTTCAGCCCTGTAGATCACTGCGTTTGTGTTCAGTTTGCCTGCCTTGATCGAGTGGCAGTAGGACTGAATTCGACGCAGTTGGCGAAACCATTGTAGAACCGCTGTTCCCACCAAGTCGTGGGTCAAGGCTACTTCACCGGGACGGCTGGCACGGCATGACACCGGTTGCAGCATTTGCTTCTGAGGTTTGAGTCTTTGGGCTCTACCTTTCTGAGAAGGCCGCAAAAATCCCGAGAGTGAGGCCTCATAGTGTTGTGAAAACTGCTTCAAAAAATCAGTAGAGTCCAATGGCATCTCCATAGTGCTTGTGCTGCAGTGTGCATGCCATCCTGATGTATCCACCTCCTCCCATGGAATTTCTTGAGGCCGTGGCCATGTCAAAACGGTGGTTGGAGACTCATCTATGTCCAGCGTAACTGAAATGGAACTGTGGTCACTGAAGACATCCTCAATGTGAATCCCATCGCAAATTGAAAGCGCAGCTGGTGAGAGCCAGATCAAGTCTCGCTCGGTGGCTCCCTTGCATGTTGGCGCCCATTCATGGGCCCATCTTTGCATCGCAAGCTCTTGTGCAGAGAGCCATCCTGCTGCTCTCCAAAGGTGGAAGTGTTCCAGCTCAAAAGGGCTGAAGTTAAAGTCCCCACAAATTGCAACTAGGCCTGAGTGTCCGAAAACAAAAGTCTTGGTGATATAGGCCAAGATGTCATTCATCAATGCAGCTGCTTGTGGCCAAGTAGGCCCACGGGGTAGCCCGTAGAGTGAGACCACGGTGATGTTGTGGCAACCTATTTGGTGTTGAGTTGCCAAGACTCGGCCTGAGTTCCAAAGATCCACAGGCCAGTCAATCTGTAGGGGCTTGGAGCTGAAATCAGAGGTGCAGGCAACACCTGTCCATGTGCCCGCCCAATCAGAACGGCTTCTCAGTGGCGCAGGAGCTCCAAAATGGGTGCGCAACAGTCTATTGGTCTGTCGAGCAGCATGCCGCAAGGCTTTGCCCGATGAAACCTGTGTGAAAGCTGACAGCTGGGTTTCTGAGTATGTCCAGATACCCGGCCCTTGTGCCACTGCCAGTGCCTCTTTGGATCTCAGCCCTCCAGGATTTGTGCTACCAATTACCAAATGCTTGTGAGGGCCAAAACGGTGGCCCAGGCTCCATTGATGATGTGTAGCACTTGCGAGCTGGTGCAAGTTCCATGTTTCTGCTG